GTCACTTAGCTCAAAATTGCTTGGGACTGCACAAAACTGGAGCTAAGGGGGCTCAGATACCACAGAGCTGTTAAAAGCAGTGCAACTGCTGGCGTAATAAATTCAGACAATTTCTGTTTTCAGCAAGTACTCAGCTGCGAGCAAATGGAGTGTAAGTAAACAGGAATGATTTAATTATCATATAAAATTAATTAATTAGACACAGGAATCAACAGGGAATCCTTTTCAAACACTGGTGGCACATTACTGTCAGTTGTAGCATACTTATCTGCTGACCTACATGAGCAAGAACAGATTGAAGTTTCTGCCCTTAATGTACTATAATTATTTTGGCTTACTTTTTCCCCCCGAGACAGGCAAAAATAAAGTTAAGAAGAGTGACCAAAGAACATACAACCATTTCAAAGCAAGTAACGTAAACCCAAAGCTGGGTTGATTCAGTGTTGCACTGGCAATGTGAAAACAGGCTAATGACCAAATCCATCAGTTGTTCCTTCTGGTACAGGGCTGGGGACAACTAACACAACATGACATACAGGTTAGGTCACCATGGTGGTAGCAGTAGACTGAAGGACAGGCAGTCTTCTCCCAGCCTCTTGCACCTGTTTCTCCATGGCCCCAGAATCCACCTTCATGTGCTGCTTCTCTGCTCCCTTGTCCTGCCAAAAGCATGGAAAGGGAAATTTCGTTTGAAGTTAAATATCTAACACCATCCACGTTTGAGCTGTGACCTTATGACAGCCTCTGAGAATTGTATCCTGTTGCCCACACGAGCATATAACAATGATGGTTGAGATGTCTGAGACTCAAGAAGCATCTGAGCTAGCAGGTGTGACTGAGGACCTATGGAAAATCCAAATCCTTCTAAAGTACCAGCTGAAGGCCAGGCAGGATGCCTTACAGCATCTCATTTGGCACTCGTTTTGGCATGGACAACCTGAGGCAGTCAATACAATCATTTCAGCCTACAGAGTGAGTCAGACTGCCCTATAAACACTTACCAGCTAGCTCAACTGCTCCGCTCAGCCAAACACACATATATCTGACACTTAAATATAGGTGGCTTAACACTGAGCTGAATCCCACGCACAGCTCCTGCAGGAAGCAACGGGGCTGCAGTGCCCTCATCTCCCATTGAGTCACCACCGTTGCTCGTGGCTGTGCTGAACTTGAACTAGGTCAGTCCTGAATGCTATCTTCAGATATTCAGCAGAAGCATGAAGAGCTGCAGCCACTGACTGCAGCCAGGGGACATTTGCAGGGCTGGAATTTTGCTCTAAACTATTCTCCTACGGGAAATAACTTCCCAATTCAGCAACAGCCCATCACCCTGAGGACAATCCTTTCTTTCACATGCACAACGTCCCGTATCCCACCTTATGTACTTGCTGGGGATTTGAGCAATTTATTTTGAAAATTGAGGCATGCACCAATCTCAGTGCTAGCATTTTATGCAAGCTCACAGAAAAATAGTCAGACATCAGCTATCCAAGCCCCAGAAAACAAAGGGCTCCATTTATATGACTGAACACAGGCATCTAGTGCCATTTGAGATACCCTAAGGCACCCAAGATACACATGGGGTTGGCAGAAATCACATAAGGCCTATGGAAGCAGCAGCTGGAGACCTGGAGACCCCACAGGATACCCTAGGGTGTCTCAAATGGTAATTGACGCCAAAGCATAAGCAACTGAATTAAGTTCTAAAAATCTTGTTTATACTGAAGTCAGATGTACGTCTCCTGTATCTAACACACACGTATCTTGCAGAGCTGCTAGGCAGCAAAAGAGCTACAAAAGAATTGCATCCTTATTTCGGGTCTACTGAAATCTGGCAGAGCTTACAGACTGTGTCAGCTTATTTTGTTATGAGCGTATAATGCTCACTGAACCCCATGAGCTGCTGTGATAACAATCTCTGCCAGCTTGCTGAATGGGTGCCTTTCAGTTGCTGCCTCTGAAGTTATGTGGCTAGAACAGAGCTTCAGCAATACGCCAGAGCACTGTGAACACCATTTTTTAGGTACGGAAGCAGGAGAGCTGTCTGAAAAGATTCATGAGCTCGGAATTGATTATCAGACCATAGGAGGGGAAGGTCATTGTGTCAAGACCCACGGCTACCACAGTGAAAATATGCTACTGTGCAATCCTCTCCTAAAAAATGCACAGTTCCACGAGGTAGAACACCTCACATGATTTATTTATTTATACTATTAATTGGTGCACTGTTTATTACAGCAAAGTTTTTATGGCACTAAAGTCTCAGCTATATGAAAGGAGACAAGTATATAAGCCTTATCCACAGTTAATAAATCTGTGATCCCATGAAGGCTACGTATGTCTGCCTTGAATTTCAGTCTGCTGTCTCAGGACCCAGCATTGAACTGCGTTCATTAATTATTTCCAGCAATTTGCATTAAATGAGCATGACTATTTAGATTACTAATTTTCTGGACTAACAGCAAGGAGTGATGACACAATTTTTGCTTTAAAATGAGTTACTAATAGTGAAACAACCACCGTCCAGGGTACATCAGACAATATTCCCTGTCAAATCTTATGCATAATATAATTAAGCTCATTAAGAGACTTCAGTCATTAAAAAACATAAAATATGACTTGTCTTTGGATTTTATTATTGAGGAATTTAATTAGATAGTTATTTGTATGTAACTGCACACACCTTCGTTTCCAATTAGGGTTATATTATTTTTCCACACCACTCTTTCAACAGCCACCACCCCGGACAGGTTACATGAGTGCATACTGCCATCTAGGCAGGTTTGTGGGAACAGCACGTCTTTTACAGTATCGATCATCTTCGCGAGGGAAAAAAAAATATATATATATATATGTGTGTGTGTGTGTGTATATATATATATATATATATATATATATTCTATTATCCAATGTGGAGGAGAAAGGAACGGTTTTTACACTATTAAAAAATGACACATCACTACTCACTGAAAACACAAAAACTAGCCCCAAGCACATTGTAGTAGTCTACTTAAGAGCAAATATTTTCTACATGTTTATTGAGAAATATATTATTTCTATATTTCCATACACGCAACTTAAATTTAAATGCTGCAATAAATTAGAAAATGCTTGTATCTATGAAAACCACAAATACAAGTTATATAGTATTAAGGCTTTTAAGACAGCACTTTGTGAGTACTGTATCTACTTTTAATGCTTTGAAATATAGTAATAGCACATTTTTAAAAGACAGTTAATAAAAAAATCTCATGATTTTCTACAAGGTTTAAAGTCATTTTTCTTCATAGAAAACAAAACTTTCCATCAAGCAGAAAAAAATACAAAATGCATAATGCACTTGTATTTAAAACAATTGTATTTAAAACAATTAACAAATTCTATACACAACATTTAGAGACATTTACAGGCAGAACATATTTACAGAAGACCTGACTAATGTCATTTTTACCAGAAACATTAATAAGTAGCTTCATTTTCAACTGTGTTACCACAAAATGTCTTCCTCCTCCTTTCATTCCAGCAAGATAATGTGGGATTCTGCAGGGAACGCATGAAATACCAATGCCGAATCTTACACAACATGGCAGGAGAATCTGAAAAAATTGTAATTTAGCACTTTCCATCTTTACATGTCCTTTGAAGATGGACCTTTGGATCGAATTCTGCTGGAAAGCAAGCATTGCACCATCTTACAACAACAAACTACACTAGAAGGATTGCTCCTGAGGTTTGGGAGAGTGAGATGAGAGTGGCCTAGTAGCCCTGAGAAGCCACTCAGAAATGTGGGCACACACTTTGGCACCCATAATCAAAAGTGTTGCCCCAAAGGTCCAGTTTCCCCTGGATTTGAGTGGATCTGCCTGATTAAAAACCCTCAAATTCATCAGAATGGATGATGGACAGCCAAGGAGAGGGAATATCTACTGACAATCAGAGTGAAGTCACCCTCCTGAGTTTCCTCTCTGCAGTGTTCCATCCATCATTTTGGGAAATGTCCTGAACAGTTTTGAGTATGAAGGTACTCTTCTTTCTCCCTGCTATATCCCCCTGAATAAGAGTAGAAATCTTTTTTTGACTACTGGCATACTTCTTCCCACCCTTCCATTCCTTCCCCCGTAAAATAAGAATCAACATGTTATTAGATTGATTTAAACTCACAACAAAAGCAACCAAAAATTCTAGGAAATGCTGAATTCTCAGTTTAGGTGGTGGAAAAGTAAGTAAAGCTGATACCAAAGGAATTCAGGAACAAACTTTGAAAATACTGTGCTAGAAGTTCTCCTGCCCTTTGAGCAGTCCTGGAATGCAGGACAAGGGAGGACAACTTCCATAGCAAGCATCTTTCCTCTGTCCTTAACTTGTTATATGGAAGAGAAGGACATTATTAAAAATTAAGCAAACCTCCATTGACTTCAGGAGCTCTCAAACAGAAAGGCTGGAATTCTTTTTGCACTTCAGAGCATTCAGTGCCCTTTGTATTTGCACAGGAAAAAACATTCATGTCTAATTTTATTGTAGAGTCTTTTTGACAATTTTGTAGTCCTGTGTCCTCACCAACAGAAAATGCCTCTCTTCCCGCCACCAGCATGAATTTGGTAGTGTACCATTACTTTTCCTGGACAAGTTAGCACATTTTAAAAAATCACTCACCTGCAGACACATTCCACATTGAGATGAAAAATAATAAAAACAGATATTGCATTAAGGTGGAGCAATGGAATTTTAACAACAAAGCAACAAAATCTCTCCTCCCTTCTCAAGAAAAAAAAAATGTAGTTTTCATTTCCCTTTCAGAAAGGATAATCAGTATTTGGGACCGTGTTACATGAAGCCAACTCTACTGAAAAGCAGCTAATGGCACAGGTTAAAGGAGGTCTCAGTCAAACCAAATGCACAAGTGGGTCTGGCTGTCCAAGATTTATTTTGTTGAAAATACAATTGCATTCAAATAACTTCTTTGGGTTTTCCCAAAACAATAACAAAACCAAGAGACAACATGTGCATAATATGTTTTATTGAATAAAATCCCACTTCTAATATTTACACAATTAAGTTTTAACCTAGTGAAATATTGCAATGTCTAATATTCATAGAACATCTGGAGTTATCTTTAAATACATCTGATACCACTTATTATAGCAATCACCTGTCCATCACTGATTTCTTAATTAATGAGGATTTGAACTTACTGAAAATTAACCTAGATAAATATTAAGAACAGTTGAGTTCAGAAAAAAATAGTTTGCTATGTGAATTCCAAAACTGAAAGTTCTTAGTGTCAAGAGTTATGAAGAAGACTTCAGTATTTTCCCGTTCTTCTTCTTGTCTCTGCAGAAGAAGATAAAAGAAATTACAGATCTTAAGGCTGAACATAATATCCACAATTTAAACACCCAACACTCTCCAAGCAAGGTAATCTTACTTTTAAAATTTATTATGTCCTCCCTGGTATATTTAAAATTAAAAAATAAAAACAAAACAAACAAACAAAAAAGATGTTTTGCTCCAGTGTGGCTAACTATGCAGATGTGAGGTGAACACCATCCTTGTCCACTTAATTCAAGATAAAAATAGTAAGCTAATTTAACAAGATGTTTACTTCTTATGTTTTAAAATTGTTATTAAAAGTTAAAGCTGTCAAAGTAGATAGAAATTAAAAATGCTGCAACTGATGTCTAGTGTCATGACAATACTAATTACTACCATTTATACAAAAACCTTATGATGAATTATCTTCCATTGTGCTCTAGTATGTTAAGCAGAGTCATGTGTTGTTTGTTAAAGCTCTAAGAGATATTCTATCCATCTGCTATTACAGTCATGAGGGGTCTTGTAGTCGACTGTAGTCAATACCTTTCCTATTTTTTGTTGTTGTTTAAAAAAACAACAATATTAAATATTCCTGATCTTGCATGGATTCTTAGGAAGGTTTGGATGCAAGACTAAAATCCCTAAGTACAGTCTTGCAACAGCTATCTTAACACATAGCACTAGTAAGACTGTTATCTTTTATTTGGATTGCTCCCTAGCTGTGAATAAGATATGATTTACTGGCCATTTTCATGCTTTTTGCCATCCAGCAGGAAAACATTATAAATCAGGAATGCTGTGTTCTATTCAAGCCTCTGGAGGTTGTTTATTCTATGGGTTGCAGATGGTGCAGCATGAAAGGCAGGCTGCCTAGCCTGCAACATTTAGGATTCTGAGTTGAAAAAAAATGGTAGTTAGTCTCAGGTTAAAAAGAAATGATCTTCCATAGTCTCTCATTTTATTCATCAAACAGGGAGGAGCGATATTTTTCCTGTGCCTCAAAGTTAATATTTATGAGGCACTGCCTAAAACAAGAACAGTAACTGCCTGCAAAGAACAGCTACTAACCTAAGTATCTAACAGGTCCCTTCCTGATTCCCAGGACAACTTACTGGCAGAGAAAGGGCAAGCCTTGCTGTCATTTGCAAGCCTCTCCCAACTGCAGCACTGGTTCTGAGCAAAATATATTGGATGTTGACAATATAGGCTCCCCAGAGATGTAGTCACAGCACCAAGCCTGTCAGACTTTCAGAAGCATTTGGACTGTGCACTTAGTCACATGGTCTGAATTTTGGGGTAGACCTGTGTGGTGCCAGGAGTTGAACTCGATGATCTTTATGGATCCCTTCCAACTCGGGATATTCTGTGATTCTATGATTGACAACACCTCAAATACATGCTTGAAAATAAAAATAAATTCAAATCTATCCCTTTCATTCCCTAACATCACTTAACCTTTAAGCACCATGCTTAAACTTTCCATAAAAAATAGTTCCACAATGAAGTTAACAGTGTGGTAACGTGATAATTTTAGAGGCTGAATTTGTAACAGCAATGTTGTCTCTACACACACCTCACACACACAAACTCATAGGCAGGTGAACTGTTAACAGCTTAAAAATTAATAATTTTACAATAAACAAGAATATGCAGATGTGGTCAAAAAAGCTGCAAAGGTAACAGAAAACCACTTGGCTATTTGCTACAGCCACCCCTTCATATATTTGAGTACCATGAGAGTGTATCTTATAACATTGTTGGTTACCTTCTTTCTGTTTCTTCTTTTTCTCTCTCTCTTTTTTTTTCTTCCTCCTCAAATGAGCACAGACACCATTCCAGCTATCCAGGAAATGTGTATCCATCTTAATCTCACTGATTTTTTTCTCTTTATCTTTTCTTCCAACTACAAAGAGCTGTCTGGAACACAGCTGCCTACCTGGAAGCTATTTCTCTTATAACTAACATAGCTATAAATTTTAATAACTAAGAAGCTGCTGAAAGATACAGATTTTGCTCTTGCCTGTCATTGGCAAGCTCTACAGTACACACTGTCAAACTGTCTTTGAGCAGGAAAATGATCTGTACTGTCAACCTCAAGATAAGCAACTATGTGTGTGTGTGAGACATTGTCAGCACAGGTTGAATAAAACCAAGTATACATTAAGATAATAAGGCTGTGTTCAAAAATGACTGACTGTAGCATCCAGCTTGAGACCCTGCATTAGCCCCAGTCACAACGTAGTGAGTGAATTTTCTATCACTTCAAATGAAACTTCAGTATCAAACTAAAGAGATGTCAGGCCATCTGAGAAAGGACGATCCGATATATGTCACAGATGTATTTGACAGCTTGTTTATCACTTGCTTTTTTTCCCCCTACATCCTGCCTGAAAGCAATGGATGAAGCAAGTTCTAGTAAAATGCCGATTAAGAGGAATAAAGAAGAAAACAGCCAGACATGCCACCACATTGCATTCACAGGAATGACTTGAAACATAAGCAAAGCAACAACTTTTCCAGCTTTGCCATTTCTGTAACTCTAAAGCCAGCCCTGTATCTCTCTCCACCACAGGGAACTACTAGCTCCTCTTTCTCTCCAGCAGTAGAACAAGAAGGGGCCCAACTTCTCCAACATGCAGAAGAATTATGGTCATCTTCAAGTCCACACAAACTGTAGCACCACTTCTGAGAAGAGATGCCCATCTTCCTGTATATGACATGATTTGGAAAACACATTAACCTCATCAGTCCAGACTGATATCAAGTAACCTCACTAATGAACGTTACACTGAGTACAAGAAGCAGCAATGCTCGAGCAGTGCTTCCATTCCTCAAAGACATAAAGGTACCTACCCTACATGCAAACTCTGAGGAGCAGATGGTGGAATGGAGATCAACTGAAATGCTGTGTTGGACAAGCACGTAAGACCAAGTACATAGCAGAGCACACAAACAAATAATGCAGGTGACATTTCCAAGTTTTAGTCAATATTACCTTCACAGGAAGGTTTAGGATAAACTTCAAGTGTAGAAATTGGACTTTGTGCAAATTCACTGCAATCACAGTTCTTTCTTCTCATACATCCCTCACGTTAGCATCCAATGTAGGGGGTTAAATTAAGTCTCTGAACCACCCATTTTTCCTTGGTTTGTCTGTCTCTGTTTAGATAGCACTAAGAATATTTGGTCTTTTGGGTTTGCTTTGGAATGGAAAAGATTAAAGGCTAACTAGCATGGCCCAGTAACTTGCCTGAAAGAGTACAGACATCTCATTCTCTTTAGGACAGCTTCACTGACTGCAGTGCAGAGGTGCAAAATGAAAAAAGAAAATAACTCTCTAATATGTTCAACTCAGATAAAAGGCAGGGGGAATTGTTGTGAAAAAGACAGCATTTACCTCTACAAAATAGTTTACAACATTCTTCAGTTTTAAGCCTGAAATGCTGCGGCATGTCAATAATGTGTGATTTTGGAGAAATATTCTAAGTGAAATGACATTATTTTTTTGGAGATGCTGTCTCATTGGTAGCTTTCCCATGTCACAAACAGGAACTCAACTTTCAGCTACCATGGGAAACGAAGATAGTGAAATGCAAAAATGTCATCCTGAAACGAAATATGTGTACAAATGGGATTAACATTAAGGTATTGACCATCTTCTCTGCCGGGTTCTAATTCACAGCTTTACGTATAGATAGAGTGGACACAAGAGGGCGCCCCTAATATAGGGCCTATCTTGGACCGCGGTCTTCAGTGTCAACAGCTACAAATCCCTTTACATATCACAAGATCTCCTTACTCCAGAAGCAAACTGGCCAGTTGGTTTTTCGTGTGTTTTTGGTTTTGTTTCTCTTTTGGGTTTAGAATTACAAGACCCATGGAGTCTCAATGTCAAAAACTATGCTACTTGATCTGTTTAATTAAAGGAAGTTCAGAAGACAATGGATATATTTCCTGATGATTAAGCTTGGGTCATTAAACACAAACTTTTATGAGAACAACACCCAATACTTTCTGAAGTCATGGTTGGCCAATGCACAGCTGAATACTTCTTAGTATGATATTAGAATGAAATCAAAGACTAAGACAATACAGACTGTGATTAATGAACACGTAATATAAATAAATTACTTCACAGACTAGATGCCTGGAGGGCTCTGCAAATAGAAATATCTGTATGTGATCAGATTACCTAAAAGTTATACAGAAGAATGTTTTTTAGATTAAATATTAAATATAAGCCTTATAACCATATTTGAATAGAACTGCAAAACATTGCAAATGCTTCACACATCTTCAGTGCTCTGTGTATCCTTGTAATGCAGTGCATATATTCAGTGTAGATCAAGACTTACTAGTACCTCACAGGATTACAAGACAACCCTGAAGAATGAAAAATCATACAGTTTAACAATATGCTTTGCCTACGAAATAACTGTCTTTAAATATACCTGATCTTATTTCTCAGGATATAAGACATTTAATTTTCTGATCGATTAAGGAAGGTAATTCATTTCAAACGCTGACTTCCATGGCACTACTAAAAAATATTTGGACACTTTTCAGACTGAAGGCCCAAAGTCATGTCCCCCTGTACTATGCCCTCACGAGGCCCCACTTGGAGCCCTGCATCCAGGTCTGGGGCCCCCCCAGCATAACAAGGATGTGGACCTGTTAGAGCAGGTTCAGAGTAGGGCCACAAAGATGATGAGGGCTGGAGCACCTCTCCTATGAAGACAGGCTGAGAGAGCTGGGGACTTTCAGTCTGGAGAAGAGAAAGGTCCAAGGACCTTTCACTGTGGCCACTCAGACCTTAAACAGGGCTTATAATAAAAGATGGAGAGCAACTTTTTACATGAGCAGATAGTGGTAGGACAAGGGGAAATGGTTTTAAACTAAAAGAGGGGAGATTTAGATTAGAGGAAATTCATCCCTCAGAAGTTGAGGGACTGGAACAGGCTGCCCAGAGAAGCTGTGGATGCCCCATCCCTGGGGGTGTTCAAGGCCAAGCTGGATGGGAGCCCTGGGCAACCTGGTCTGGCGGGAGGTGTCCCTGCCCGTGGCAGGGGGGTTGGAACTAGATGATCTTTAAGGTCCCTTCCAACCCAAACTATTCTGTGATTATATCTGTGATTCTTGTTAAAGAAAAATAAAGGAGCAGTACCTTATCCCCAGACCTTGCAATCACCCTGTTCGAACATTTTACAGGCAAACTGTCAATGTAAGACATAGTTCATTTCTCACCTGTATTACTGATCAGTAGTTAATCATTTTTCGAAGAGCATCATAGCATTTCCATTTGTCTGGGATGTAGAAAGGCTCGAAGATGTGAGGGAAAGGAGTGTCATAGCCACAGACTCTTGAAATAGGAGCCTCCAAATTCAGAAAGCATTCCTCCTATTAACAGAAATATAGAATAAATGTTAGTGAGGCCATTATTTGCAGGAGTCTTGCATCACAAATTGAGGTCAAATGAACTTTGCCAGACTGACAGTCCTGGAAACTGAAACCTTCTATTTATATCACAGCATAAGTATTCCAGACCAGAACATTACTTCCTTTTGCCCACAGGTCCATATTAAAATAACAATTTTCTATTAATGTTATTTTCATTTTCTACATGTGTGCCGCATTAAACTGTACGCAGGTTATATTTAGTACATCTGCTATACATCCAGAAAAATGCTGCCAAGAAAAAAATATTTTAGGAACAAAGGAATAAAGGGTTTCTTTCCTGTGCCACTTTTAAACAAACAGAAGAATTACGTAACCTAAGAGTGCACGTTATTTGTTGGATACACAAGTATCATATTTAAACTTCTTTGAACCCTTAGGTAATTAAGGCTCTGTCTGAGAAGTGCTAAGCAGTCGTGGAAATTATGAATTTGAACTTGAATGTATTTCCACATCTCCAACCCTTGAGTCAAATCTATGCTCTACACAAATAAACACAACTTGTGTTCTGTTCAGAAATCAGATTTGGCAATTGGGAGAGTTTCTTTACTCAGCCTACTAAGGCACAAACTTTGCATCACATTAATCTGAAAATAACCTGTGGAAATATGTGTGAAGTGTTACCAGCTTTAATAACCAAACATACAGGGGGGTCTCAAATAGAAGAACGAAGACATGGACCATGACAACTGGCAAAATGTGGACGCAGTAATACTTCCGTGAGATCAAATCAATGTCAATGCTGATTATCATCTCATTTTCCCCCACATCTTTAACATATGTGTCTACTTTCCAGAGCAGACAAATGAAGAGACAAAACACGCCTTTTCCCGGACTCTCCCTTACAGATCACAGCAACTGAGACATCCTGGCCAACTTCCTCTGTATTTGGCTCAACAAAATAGAAGGTAAAGTATCATCTACCAGTCCTTTTCTACCAGGTACACAAAGAAAACAGTCAAACAGTTATGCTTTTCAGCAGCAAAGTGCTAAGTACGTTCTCAAACTGATGAACTGTTTTGAATGAATGTTGCCTTGCAATCAATGGCAGCCTAACTCTTAACATACTATTCTTTCTGTACATCGTGATACATGGCAGCACAGAAGGCACCCATAACACATCATGAATGGTTTTTCTCCAGCTACCATTTCTGTGCAGTGTGAATGGACGTATTTATTTGAAGTTGATGGAAGCAAAATATTCAGGAGGTTATGAGATTGCATACAGCATTGTCACATTTAATAGCAAACTAACCCACCTAGAAAGCTTCAGAGTCTGAATGTGTCTGAGGTAAAGATATATGCAACCAGTAACAAGATTTTTTGAGACCCATTTTCAGGCTCATCCTTGCTTTTACTTGTAAAGTGAAAGATCCATGTTAGTACAAAATACTGGGAAGAAGAGTATATTAAATCCTTTACCTGTCCATGAGTCCTATCATAATGTACCACCCCAACCTGCTGGCAAGGGTATTTTTGATAGTAATCAGCCTTTACTTCCCATGCTGTGAATGACAAATAAGACAAAGCAATAGCTTTGGGAAAATCCATAAAAATTTGCCAACCCAGACCATCCATGAGACTACACCAAACCACACAAGGTGTATTCTAGACCCACAGCTTCCCAGTTCCACACCCGACTGTTAGACTTTCACTGGATCACTACACAGGACAGATCTTTGTTTAATGTCACAACCAGCTCTGCGGTAATGGCCCATCCCAAATAAAGTACAGAAAGTTCACTACAGTGCACTGAAAATATTCACTGCAATATTCCCCATACATTGGGCATCCATGCAGAGACCAGCCCTGTACCTTCAGTAGCCCAACCAGTCAACAGAGATACTGTCTGCAACTGGCGAGGTGCTATCCTCCCCTGAATCAACCCCCAGGCTTGGCTGTAAGTATTAATCTCATCTTGCAAAGCCAAGTCACGTAAAATATTTGCAAGTATTTCTTTTTATGGAAGTTATCTGTATTTTATTTAATACAGAATAACAATGAAGTCATAAGACTTTTCAGAACTCCACTTCTTGTTCTTTTTCTTTATGAAGAACCCATAACTGCTGTTACAAACAATTTCATGTGGTTTTAAAGCTCAGCAATTCCTTTCAGTTTGAATATATACAAAAGTTTTGAAACTTTTACAGCTGCCAGAGCTATGTGGATTGCCTTGCCTCCGCAAAGTCAGAGAGAGTAGCTGAGATGAGCAGACTGATGTACTGTCAGATACCATCAAAACCAAAAATAAAGGTGGAAGAAATCTGCAAGTCTGTCTGAGCTATTGTCTGTGTGTTGACATGTATGCACAATTCTCTTGCATTGTTTTTCTGGAGGTAATAGTGTGTGTTTGTAGAAGTTCGTCTAAGGGATTCCACTGTACGAGTCAAGTATTTCAGAGGCAGAAAAAAACAGGCCCAAACCCCCAGCCAAACCTATAAAGGAATGAACTTGCACCTCACCTGACAGATGTCAACACATCTTCAAGAAGCTTCACACCCAAGTGACTTTGATTATAACAGCATCACACAAAGAATGTCACATTGTAATAAAGTAATTTTCCTCGAAAAGTAATTTCCCTAAAAGATTGGTAAAATTTGCATTAACAATATCCTGAATAAACTGCTTACAGTTTTCAGAGTACCATCAGTCTTAAAATGTATTTTTTCCTTACCTTGCATACCTAATATCATAACGTAAATCCTATAGACATATTTCACAGAGGATTGTTAGATTATTGATGCATATATATTATGAATGCAGTGTCTGAGTCAGATGATGTGTTGGTTATGGAGCTTCCTGGAATAAATCCCACAAAGGCAATGATGAGAAACAGAAATGCTGCAGACCTAGCAAAAGGAAAATGATTCAATTGACATTACTTGATCTACAGATTTACTGACAATATTTGCAAGAATATTGGTAAGAGCAAATTGCAAAGAAATGCTTCTAAATTTTTGCTTGCTTGTTTTTAAGACTGTAAACAAATTTGTAATCCAGAAGGTGGAGCATAAAGTTATTAGAAGAAGGTACCTGAAAACAATCAAGAAAATGCAGATTACAGCACTCTTACTTCACAATGTAGAAGTATTGTAAAGAGGCAAGAGTCTTGATCTTGCTAGGAGTTTGGAAAATACTTGACTTCAGCATCATGGTTCTCATTCAAAATATAATGAGGTTAATGTTTTTACAATTTTCAATGTGCTTATTGTAGGATAGCTGGATTTACATACAGAATCACAGATCTTCCTGCCATATGCTAAGTATTTGGTCCCCCACACACCCAAAAAAGTCACAAATCCACACATTTTGCATTTGAACAGTCACAGAAAACAGGCTTAGGAAAATTTCATCATAAGCTGACTTAGAGGGAGAAAGTATTATTTTTTTTTCTCCAAAACATATAGGCTAGTTTGATAGAAGATGCTACTTCTTTATCAGCAGTGCTTTAGATACATTTAGATAGGCAACAAGTCTTCTCTAGAACTGGGGCCTTTGATTATTTTGGTCTATAATTAGGTTTGGTGCCAGTTTTGCTTGAAATATAACTAACACAATTTATCAGGTCATGGGGTCAGTTCTAATCTCTGGAACAATACATTCAGTTGAGTCCTTTAAATTTAAAGCAAAGGAAACTTTTTCACATAGTTACAGATTATGAAACAGGGAGCTTGATGGCATTCATTTAACAACTGCAATCTAAGCAAATGAGATGATGCTCTTCATTAGATGGCATTATACTCAGAAGAATCATAGTGTTAGCAAAAGCTGGATGCTAATACAAAAAATAGTCTGTGGACATATTTCTAACTCATCTTCCCTTTGATCAGCCCATCAAAACGCCTATTTTATATGGACTCTTGTTCACAGCTGCTGTTGAAAGTTAAACTGCATGAGAAACAACGGGTCACCTGATGAAGAATATGATACTGCCTCATCTGCTGTACAGATTGTCGTGCCAGATTTTTTGCACCTGTGCAACCACACTGTAGAGAAATATAACTGAGTATATTAAATATAAAACATCCAGCTCTTTTTAGGGAGTAATTAGAAGACATACATTATACAAGCCTTCCAGTACAAGTATGCTGTAGTGTTTAAAAGAATGATAGAAGATCAAAATTTTATATTTGAAACAGATTTACTCAATACCACTTGGGCATACAAGAGCTGGTACTGCCTGGAGTGTTCTTGCCCTGTAAAGGAATGCAAGCTTAAAAGCTTCAATAAGGCTCTACTTATTCAAGAAAGACTATTAAAAATCTTAAAGGGAAATGTTTTTGAAGTAGATATGGGGTTTCAGATTCAGTGTAAAATGCTTTAAAGTTCAATTTTTAAAAGCAGTATGAAAAAGTCATACTCATTAAGTAGAGCATCTATTAGATCCCAAAATTCAACAGAATTATTATAACTGAAATATTTTTTGTTAGAGAAAAATTCTTAGAAGGGAACATATATGGTTATTAACAAGGATTAAAAGTAGGATTTATATATATATATTATTTCTACTACTCTGTAGAATATGCTCTACACTGGAAAAACTTTTGTTAAAAAATCAATTATTTCTGTAACATGTTATGTTCCAGGAGTCTCTCCCATGCTATTCTTATTTTGCAACACTGCAGATACTCAGCAAAGATGAAGAGAGCTTAAACATCATCACATGACTATAAAGCTGCTATATGACAACACTGATTTTACAACTCCTTTTTTCACTACAGGTGTTCAGTTTCTGTAAGACAACAAACAAAAAAATAATCAATTTTAAAGACTAACATGAATAGACCAAGCTGGATGGAGCTTTAATATTTCTTTTGGTGTTACAGCTGTTATAAAAAAAAAAATAAGACTCAACATAAGATTAAAGTCAATTATATAAGACAAACTGTAGGAAAATTCTGAGGCAGGATTATTTATTTTTCTGCAGACAATAACTGCAAAAT